GAGCCTGCGCGTCCGGAGCCTGTGCTCCGCAACGGGAGAGGCCACAAAAGTGAGAGGCCCGCGAACCGCAAAAAAAAAAAAAAGTAAAAAAAAAATGATGGCTTAGATATACACTGGTTGACATAGAAAGATATTCTCAATGTATTGGATTGAGTTATTTAAACAGCATGTTATAAAACACTATAAATATTCAAATGTTCTAATCTATTTTACAATGTCTTCATTACTTTTTAGTTACTTTTGTAATAAAATAACTAGTCGTATTGTGGATAATAGATAAATGAGCAAAGTACTGAGATAATTCACAAATGAAGAAATAAAAATGGCCAATAGGGACTTCCCTGGTGGCACAGTGGTTAAGAATCCACCTGCCAATGCACGGGACACAGGTTCGTGCCCCGGTCCGGTAAGATCCCACATGCTGCAGAGCGGCTGGGCCCGTGAGCCATGGCCGCTGAGCCTGCGCGTCCGGAGCCTGTGCTCCGCAACGGGAGAGGCCACAACAGTGAGAGGCCCGAATACCGCAAAAAAAAAAAAAAAAAAAAGAGAAAGAGCATTGCTGAGCTGAGGCTGGAGGGCAGCGGTAGCTCCGCCACAAAGGAGGGCAGGTGAGGCCCCAGCCGAGCCCATGGGGCAGAGACGGGGAGGGTGCAGAAATGAATCGGGTACACATCCTGCCTGTATTTTAGCAGGCAGGCGTGATGTTGGACACCTCACTATTAGCTGAACCATCCAAAATTGCCATTCTTGGAGGTAAAAAATGGTGGCATATCAGACATTTCTTCTGGTTCAACCTGATTTAACACAGATGGAAGGATGAGAAAGGAAGAGAGGGTATTATTTGGAGGTTTAGAAGAAAGAAGAATGAATTCCCCCTGGAAGGACTGAGGACATTTACGGAGGAGATTCGAGCTGGGATACGACGGGACTGATTTGGACGTGGGGGTAGGAATGGGGAGGGCAGCTGGAGAGAAGGAACAGGGCTATGGGATGGGGTGGGAGCAGGGCTGGCAGCATGGAAGGAGAGGCACGGAGGCTCAGTCAGCCCGCCAACTGCCCACTGGCACCACCCAATGCCAGGTTCTCGGTGCTGAGCTGAATGAGACTCCCTCTCTGCCCTCAGGGGGCTTATGGCACGACGGGGTGGAGGGGGAGCCTGGCACAGAGACGGAATGGTGATCCAGTGTGGCTGGTGTGGGACAGCCAGATTGAGAGGCAAGCTGAGAAGGAGGAGATGGGAGCCATGGAAAGTGCTGGAGCAGGGGTGTGGCCTGGCCTGGTGGCCGAGCCCAGGAAGGCTGGCTTGGAGGGAGGCTGCTAGGGGGAATGGTTGAGCTCCAGCCCCCTGTGCTTTGCAGCATTTCCTCAATTTCCTGAAGTTGCCTGAGAGTTTTCAAGCAGGAAGGTGGTCATCTTGGTGACCACAGCGGGCATGACGTGGCCACAGTAGATGTCAGTGGAGTCACTTGCCTGAGCCCTCCGTCTGTGAGGACCCTCAGAGGCTCCTAACTCCCTGCCTGTCTGAGGAAGGGTGACCAGCCAGGTGCTCGGCCGAGCCCTAGGAGCCCAGGTCCCCGTGTCCCTTGACCCTCAGGGATGCGCCTCCTGTGTGCCCGGGCCACGCACCTGCATCCACCGGTCATTCATGCTCTCTTCCTTGGCACAGACCATCAGCCTGCACCTGGCTTTCTTGGCCAGAGCAGCCACTGACTTCAGGAAATCCTCATTTTCAAATAACCTAGAAAGAACAGAAAAAACAACCTCCTTAGTGCCCTTGATTCAGCAGCCAGTGGCCTTGGCTGGCCTCCGAGGGGGCAAGCTGGACCCCCTGGGGTGTCTCTAGGGATGGAGCAGGACCTCAGGGCTGGATGGAGGAGGGGAGGGGCACGGTGGGTGCTCCAAGGCACCTGGAGCCTGGACAGAGACCGCAGCTCACCCTGCCTCTCTGCTCTTAGCAAGCATAGTTCACTGAACTCTGGTAACAACCCAGGAGGGGAGCTAGCAGTCAGCCTTCCACCGAGGAGGAGACAGAATGAGGAGGTCAGAGCTCAAGGTCACGCCATCTGGATTCGAACCCAGGCCTTGCTGGCTTCCAGCCTGCGTCCGGACCACGGGTTTACATTCTCACCCCTTCTGCCCCAAAGCAATGGGAAGGGGAGAGGGGAAGGTCCCCCTGTGACCCCACATGGTTAGCAGGGGCTCTCAGACTGTGGGAGGGATGCCGAGCCTCCCCCGGCAACTTGTGAAAACACAGCTGGGCCCCATCCCGTCCCCAGAGTCTCGAGACCCAGCAGTTCAGAGGTTGGCCCGGAACGTGCATTTTAAATGAGTGCCCAGGGGTTTCCGGTGCAGAAGGCTTACAGGCTGCCCTCTGAGGAGCCCTGGAGGCCTCACCCAGGGACTCAGGGTTCTCATCTTCCAGGTCTGGCAAACTCTAGAGGCCCCCAGGAGCTAAAGGAGCCCTTGGGCTGCCTCAGGGCAGGATAGTGACATGAAAACACCACCAATAATGATTTTCCCGACCTTTTTATGGTTCTTAACAAGCCTCAGCCCTCAGCAAGTCATAGCACAGATACCACTTTTCCCCATTTACACAGCAAGTGCATGATGGGCTCTCCCTGGGGGTGTGTCTGTGCCCCTCCCTCAGCCCTCCAGGGCCCCTCACCTGCACACATACACCTCCTCGGGGACTGAGTGTTGGGGGTCATGATCCAGGGGGCCACATGGAAGACCACGCTGTCTTGGAAAACCAGGGCCTTGGGGGAGCTCCTGCAGGGGGAGGGACAGGGGAGGAACTGTCACAGCAGCCAGGGCCCAACACCTACTGCTTCCCAGTGGCTGTTTGGAGCCCCCTCCACAGCTGGGCCAGTGCCTGGAAGCCCAGATCCCCCTTCTTGGCCTACCGGGTTGGACGTGTCCAGCAGGGAGACATTGAGGGAAGTGAGCCCTGGGAAGCTGGCGTCTGGGAAAGCCAGGCCCTCCACATAGAAGTCTGTGCTGTGATGGCCACCCTGGAGCTCCAGCAGGTGAGAGGGATGCTGTGGCCCCAGGATCATGCCGTACCTGGAGGGCTGTTTGTCTGCTGGGAGAGAGCAGGGGAGGCTCAGGTCTGCGTCCCTACTTCTGAGACCTTGTCTTCTTGGTGTGTGATGCCTTCCCAAGGCCGTGGCATCTCACCCCTAAGGATCCCTCACAGCTGGATCTGGCAGGAGCCTCCCCTTAGGAGGAAGGGACTAAAGGCCCTGCCCTCGCCCTCCCAATGGAGGCCCAGGAGTGGAGTGATGAGGGCGCCTGAGTCATTCACAACTTTGCAGAAAGTCCAATATACATTATAGTTCGTTCATTCATTCATCCATCCATTCACTCCCTATCACCTGCTCTCAGCTGACACCTGGAAAGACCAGGGTGACAGACACTGTCCTGGTCCCCAGGGAGTGCATAATCTCCTGGGTAAGTAGGGAGGAGCAAAGACAGTCAAAATTACAGATAGTAGTAAGTTCTGGAAGGTCAGGGAAGGCTTCCCGGAGGAGGTGATACCTCCATAGAGGCAAGGAGTTGGTTTGTGGCCAAACCAATGTCAGTCTAATCGCTGAGGTCTGAATGGAAGTCAGATCAAGTTGTGCCTCTGCACAGCCCTCAGATGGCCCCCCACCTCCCACAGACTAGCCACAGTCATTTCCTGCCTCCCTGACCCAGCCCCTTCCCCTCTGGCCTTTCTTCTCCCCCCTCACCCCCCCCCCTCCTTAACCCTTGCATTATGCACTCCAGCCGAGCCAGCCTCCCTGCATTCCTCAAGCCCGTGGGCACATCCCACCTCAGGGCCTTTGCACCTGTGGTTCCCTCTGCCAGGAGTGCCCTTCCCCTGGGTGTTCCCACACCTCTGTCTGCTCAATGACATCTTCTGGGGGAAGCCTTCCTCAGCCCCCCTTCCCCACACCCCTCGTTCTCTTCCTCTTCACTGTTGCATCCCTCTGTGTAGCATTTAATGCCGTCTGAGGCACTAGACACTTTACTTAATGATTTTACATATCATTGCTCTCAACCCGCTGAGATGAAAGTGACATGAGGGCAGAGACTTTGCTTTGTTCTTTGCTCCGTGCCCCGTGCCTAGAACTGAGCCCGGCACTCAGTGGCAGGTGCTCGCAAGCCGCTGAGAAGTTACTGATGTCTCTGATCACCAGGTTGTTGGAGAACAAATTATTACATATTACAGTTATTATGTGCAGTCAGCTTGGATTCAAAAACCTCTGTAAACAACAGTCCTGTGTGTGTGTGTGTGTGTGTGTGTGTGTGTGTGTGTGTGTGTGTGACAGAGACAGACACACAAAGAACAGCTACCACAGTCCTTGGGAGGGAGGTCATTTCCTTCTCAGTGCTCGTCCAGCTCATCATCTCGTTTGCTGCATTTTGTCTGTGCCCTTTCTACAAGGCAGTGGGCAGAGATGTCCATCGTGCTTACTGCGGCATCCTCAGTTCTTAGAACCTGGCACAGGGTAGGTGCTCGGGAATTATTCACCGAAGTGTGTGTGAAGGGGCTGAGTCCCATTGGCTGGGGTGGGAAGGGAACACCAAGGTGACGGCCAAGGGCGACTCACCATTGGCTCGAAACACCTGACTTTATCCATCTCAGACTTGGCCACATGGAGCACCAGCTGGTGCTTGCTGAAGTCCCTGGGGGTCTTCGTGCTCAGGGTCACCAAGGACATTGTCCTTCAGGTCTGGAATGAGAAGGGCATGGCCTGAGACGCAGGCCCCTGAGACTACGCCCCCCCACCCAAGACCACCCTTCATCACGTCACCTGCTTTATTTTCCTTATGCTCTTTCCAGTATTTAAACAATATTTTTCATTTTAGAATTAAAGGAATTCAAGGTTTTGGTCCTCTCCCACTAGGATGAACTTAGGATGTAAGCTGGCCAAAGCAGAAATCACATTTATCTTGTTTGTTGCTCTGTTCCCAGCTCCGAGAAGCATCTAGAACAATGCCTAGCACAAGGCAGGTGCTCAATAATTATTTGTGGGGTGAATGAGTGGAAAGGTTTCTCCCCGGGGCCTGCGTGGGAAGTGAGCCAACCTGAATAGTGGCCGGCAAAGGCTTGGGGAGATTGAAGATGGACGAGAATCAGAGGCTGGACAAGAGTCACATGGTCAAGGGCACTGGAGTGGGCGGGGTTTGAACCCTGGATCTCTGTGGGCTTGGGGAGGTATTTCAGCTCTCCGTCCCTCTGCTTCCTCGTAAATACACAGGGCTAAGCGCAGAGCCCACACGGAGGGAAGGGTGCAGTCATATGTGTAAAGTTCATATTATAGCGCCCGGGCTGTTTGATTATTACTGTGTGCCAGGCACCGTGTAGAGGCTGCTCCCTGGCATCAGGCCAGGCCAACTCCATGCAACTTTAAAATGCATCCATTTCAAAAAAAAAAAAAAAAAAAAAATGCATCCATTTCTAGGCCTTTCTAGCAACTCCCCAGGAGGGCGGCAGCTGCTGCCCTGGCCAAATGATCCTGCCCCCCTCAGCACCCTCCTCCAGTGCAGGTCTTCCACCCTGGCCATGCCTCAGAGGTGTGCCAGCAGGGACCCTGCGCCCAACTTGTGCCCCTAAACCTGCCCTGGTGTTGGGATGCCTGGGTTCAAATCCTGAGCCTGTGACTTACTAGCTGTGTGACCCAGAGCAAATTGCTTAACTTCCCCATACCTCAGTTTTTCCATCTGTAAAGTGGGGGTGAGGACCATACATACTTCTGAAACTTGAGCTGAAGGATCAAATGAGTTAAGAATTCTGAACTGGTCCGAGCAGTGCCCAGCCTATGGCAGGGGCTCAGGGCTGCTCTGGCATGAATTTGGGGGCTCTAGTCAGGCTTTCATTTTGAATTATTTTGGGCCCCAGGTTTGACCCAAGAGCAGAAGTTTGGGTTGGTTAACGGGCTGGGGATGGAAATTGGGCCCTGGAGGAGGCATTGGGAGACTGAGCGTTGCTCCCAGCTCTTCCCTGGCTGCTGTGTGACCTTGGGCAGGTTACTTGCCCTCTCAGGACCCCTGTCCATTCCTTCACCTACATAACAGGCATGCTAAAAAGAACATGCTTCCAATAACCCTGGTTTCTGAGGGTTGTTACAAGGCTCAGGACAAAAGGCTTCACAAAAAGGCAATGCTCTATTCCCATTGGTTCTTGGGGGGTCTTTACCTTTGCTGTCAAGCTGGTCATCCTTGCAGTCCACAGTGGAAGATTTGGGATTGTCTCTGTCACAGTTCACTAGCAGGATGGCACCCTGCCCATGAGGGCCCCAGGTCCAGGTCCTCTGTGGACACCCAGCAGAGATGGGGCACACTTAGGAACCTGTGTATGCCCCTCCAATTCCTGGGAAAGCCCAGCCACCTTGCCCTAACACCTCGATAGCCTTTTGTGATTTACACATTTTGTTCCCACATCAGGTAATTTTTTGGTCCCAAGAGTGGATTTTTGCCTGCCCCAAAAGTCATAAACAAATTCCACTCATCCACTTAAAAAAAGGAGCCCAAGACAGTAAAATTGATTTCAACAGCTTTTAAAAACTGTTGGATTAGCAAACCAAACTGCACTAAATATTTGTGTCTAGACTCAAATCTAAATAGCTCCTCTTCTGAGAACTCTTAATTACTCCTTCACCAAAGTGTGGGCACTATTCTTAGCAGTTGGTTACTGTCTGCCCAAAGATGAAAGCAAATTGAGCAGCTCCTCCCAGCAGGAATCTAATAGTGATGACATCTTCTGTTTGTAGGAGAGCATTCTCCCCCCGGGGAATGACTGTGTTTTGGGAGGGACCCAAGGATGAATTCCACTCCCAGAGCTGTAATTCTTCCCCCCACTTTTGACTGACCCCACAAAGGGATATTAATTTTTGACAGGTCATATCATCTTAAAGTGCACACCAGCATATGGAGAATTCCCTGGCGGTCCAGTTAGGACTCGGTGCTTTCACGGCAGGGGGCACGGGTTCGATCCCTGGTTGGGAAAATACTATCCGGCAAGCCACGCAGTGTGGCCAAAATAATAAATAAATAAAAAAAATACAGTGCACACCAGCACAAAAATGTGCAGGCAGCTTTGGGGTTTCAGGGACACCCTGAGGTTTATCCATGGGCCCCAGTTAAGACGATTCATCACCTGTGTACGACATCACCCTATATTTCTGCAACATACATTCCCTCCCCCCACCTGGCTCCTTCCCTCCTCTATCCCCTGCCTCTTTTCTTTATTATTCACCTCATGTGAACCTCTCCCACCAGTAGCTAAAGTCTAGTATAGGGGATTTTTTTTGGCTGCGCTTTGCGCTTGCGGGATCGTATTTCCCTGACCAGGAATCGAACCCGTGCCCCCTGCAGTGAAAGTGTGGAGTCCTAACCATTGGACCGCCATGGAATTCCCCATAGTATAGGGAATTTTTGAGCCAGAGTTGAGACCTGCCTGCAAATTTTCTCTCTGCTGTGCATGAACTGGGTGAGTCTAGTTTCCAGTTTGTGGGACAACACATTCTCTGAACCCACAATTATGAAAATCTAGTTTTGTAGAATAGATGGGACCTATGTAAACCAAAACGGTAATGGTATTCGTGATTTTAATTTTCTTTTTTTTCCTGTTCTTCTTAAATTTGTTTCGTTTACTATTAACAGGGATACATGAGACAGACCGCTGTTCACCTCATCACCACCAGGGGGCGCGCTAGGAGAAGCCAGTGGAGTTACGGGAGCATTTGGGGTGCCGGACAAGGTCGAGCCATACCTGGTCCTTCCTGCCTCCGGTGGACTTCATTTTGCCAGTGCGAGTGAAGTCCGCGCTCAAGGAGATTTCTGAAATCCCGGGGAGTAAGAGGAGAGGGATAGTGAGGGTGCAAGGTGGGAGCACTCAGTCTGGTCCCAGATGGACAATCCTTTCCCCAGGAGACCTATCTGCACAAAGGCTTCTTTCTCACTGGTTCAGAGGAGACACAGGTCCTAAGACACCCCCATGTCTCCCAAGAAGAAGTCTGGCTGCAATTCTGACAGCAGAGCCGGGGCTTCTAACCACACACATTCTCCTCTCATGGAGGACCTGCCACAGCTGTGATGCCAACCAGGCCCTGCATGTCTGGCCATCCCCAAGGGTCTCAGAAAGAGTTCCCGGTCATCCCAATGGATGTATGGTACGAAGCCCCTGCAAGGACACCTTGCCAGGCTCTCAAAGGCCTCTGGCCCCAACTCCAGCCCCAGTGACTTTGGGGTAGGGGACACAGTGGTTATTCCAACCCCACCTGGCTCTTCATTCTGTGTACCGTGACTGCACTGGGGACAAACCACAGCCCCAAACATACCCTGCTCTGTCCAAATGGCATGGCTGAGAAAGCATATGTTCGCTTCTGAATCCTTCCCCTCTCATCAGAGCGCATGACTATACGGTCATTCCAATGACATTGTGTAGCGACCCCATGAGCTCACAGAATGAGATTGACCTAGATGACATTTAAAACATATCCATAGCCATGTATTGATGTTGGGCCATAAAGCATAGCGCTTGGTGGCCAGAACTTCCTGGCTCCTTTGCTAACCAGCTGTGTAATCTTGGGCAAGTCCCTTTACCTCTTGTACCTCAGTTTCTTCATCTGTAAAATGTGGTAGTAATAGTGCCAATTTCATTGGATTGTTGTAAGGTTTAAATGTAAAGTCTTGGCACCCTGCCTGGCATAGAGTAAGTGCTATATAATAATAAAAACAACAATAATAATTATTATGAAAATGTGTATTAATGAAATAAATGAATGAAATTCATTAATGAAAAGAAACCTGGAGCTTTCACATGCTGTTCATATATTTAATGTATGTTTAAATAGTAATAATAATATTATGATACTATTGTCCCAGATGAGGTCAAGTTAAAAATATACTTTATTTAAAGAAGAATACTAAATAAATATGAGTACAAGCAGATCACTGATGTGGCAAAAATGGTGAAGATGGGATGTAAATAATGGAATTTGGGGAACACTGGTCTATATTATTGCGTAAAACAGTCTCAACGGGCTTCCCTGGTGGCACAGTGGTTGAGAGTCCGCCTGCCGATGCAGGGGACACGGGTTCGTGCCCCGGTCTGGGAAGATCCCACATTCCGCGGAGCGGCTGGGCCCGTAAGCCATGGCCGCTGAGCCTGCACGTCCGGAGCCTGTGCTCCGCAGCGGGAAAGGCCACAACAGTGAGAGGCGCGCGTACCGCAAAAAAACAAAACAAAACAAAAAAAACAGTCTCATCATCTACTTTTTCTCATAAATATTTGAGGTTTCAAAAAGGTATAGAGACTCGTATGTTGAAAATCCACGTACCACTTCCTAAGCTGAGAAATAAAATATTGAGATGTAATTGAAGCTTCCTGCAAATGTCCTCTCTCCCCAGCTCTATTCTGGGTTCACTGACTGGGGAAGGAATACTTATGAACTACCAGATGCATGACTGGCTAGAAATTATCCTTTTCTCTGCTCAGTCTAAAGTAAGCTTCAGGGTGTAGTTTCTCCTGGAGAGATGCCTTGCATGGGTGTGTGTGTGGAGGGAGAGGGGTGGTGCTCCAAGGTCCCTGGCGTCACTTACCGACCCCGGTGATGTAGAGCAGGACTTCAACTGGAGTGGTCTCGGGTCCATAGTATGAAATCTGAACCTATAGGACAGAAGCCAACCACTAACGATTTCCCTTAGTCATTCAACAAACACTAACTGGCCTGCTATGTGCCAGCTCAGAGCAGGGTGCTGAGGAGACAAGGATCAGGCTCCCAGCCTGTTAGGAACACCCCAGCTGGTGGGAGCGGAAGGGGAGCAAAACACTCAGGTGACTATGATGTACAGAAGAGGGTCCTTTGGGAGACCAGGGAGGCAGCGGCTTCCTCTGCCTGTATGGTGTCAGGAGTTCAGCAGATGGGGATGTGGTGGAAGAGGCGTTGGAGGGAGAGTGGCAACACCAACTCCCACTGCCCAAGGTTAAAAATCCAGGAAGAACCCATCTGATTGGCCCAGCCCGGCCAGAGGAGGGCCGAGTGCCAGGAACCACACTTCTAAGCGAGATGACGGAGGGGAGTTCCCCAAAGCAAAACCAAAGAGCTGCCACCAGAAGAAGGGGAGCTCCTGAGGGTCGCACTGAGGTGTCTCGACCTGGGAAGTGTCACAGCCACTGTCACCTTGCATCTGGACCAGAGCATCAGCCTCCTGATTGGTTGCCCTGCCCCCAGTCGGCTGCCTAGATCTAATTGGCTCACTACATTGCAGCCAGTGGGTCTTTCTAACATACATATGTGGTCTTGTTACTCCTGGATGAAAGGTTGTCATTGGCTTCCTGTTGTCCTAAGAGAATGAGGTCTCTGATGCCAAACCCTCTAATACTGGCTCCCTCTCTCCCTCACCTTCCCTTCTACCTTCCTTTCTTTCCATACAGCTCTTCCTCAGCTTCCCCAACACACATCTCACCCTCTCTTATCCAGAGTGTGCACACAGGCCACATCCCCTGTGTGGAGCTCTCGCTTCTCTTTTCCTCTCTTAAGCAGGTCATTGATACCATCCATCAGCTTGCCACTTCTCCCAGGAAGCTTTCTCTGACTGCACCCTTGCTGACCAGCTTTGATGCCCAAGGTCTGTATTCTTAGAGCAGGCAACAACTCTGCCCCAGGAGGTATCCCGCTTGGCCTGTCCTGCTGGGAACAAGAGGTTGTTGTCCCAGATCCCTGTGGGAATCCTGGGGGGGTCCTGTTGAGTCCATCTATAGTCAATGCGGCTACAGTGGGTTGAATGGTGATTCCCCAAAAGATACATCCATGACCTAACCCCTGGATCCTGTGAATGTGACCCTATTTCGAAAAAAAGATCTTTGCAGATGTAATCAAGGATCTTGAAATGAGATCACCCTGTATTGTCCAGACAGGCCTTAAATCCAGTGACAAGTGTCCTTATAAGAGTGAGGCAGAGGGAGATTTGACAGGTTGAGGAGGAGGTAATGGACCACAGAGGCAGAGATTGGAGCGATGTGGCCACAAGTCTAGGAATACCAGCTGCCACCAGAAGCTGGGAGAGACAAAGAACTGATTCTCCCCAGAGCCTGCAGAGGGGTGGGGCTCTGGGTCAATTGCGTGGCTGACCTGTGATGACCTGCTGACCTCCTCCTACACATCCCAGCCCACAGCTGCCACACTCACCTTCCGGTCACCTGTGCTATCGCTGGCAGCTCTTATCTTCAGGCTCACCTCCAGCCCAGGGTCCAGGGGCCACTTGGAGGAACCTGTGAGATTCTTCTTGGCTGGAGGGCGGTGGGCAACATCTACGACCACTCCTGGGGAAGCATTGAAGCTAAAGGATGTGCAGTCCTTGGGGGCAGAGCTGTGGAAGAGACAGATGGGGAGGACAGGGGGACACGGTGAGGCAGTGCCTGGCCCACTACTGCTCTCCCCACTGTTCTTCCTTTCCCCACCAGTGTGGACACCAGAAGGCAGCCAGACTGACCCTGACCGTGGGAGTACGTACTGGTAGGTTGTCAGGAGGGAGTGAGAAACAGAAAGAAAATCCCCTGACCTGGAGAGGTTACGCTTGAACTAGGAAAAGACACACACACAGATGTATGTATAGGGTGATGTGTGTACCCGAGGTTTATATTACACACACACGCACACACAGCGCTGTGCACATGTGAAGAATCACACGAACAGTACAAACAGTACTCTGAAGGACCTTCCCTTACAAAACAACTGGATCATGGTTAGAATATATTTATTTATTTATTTATTTATTTTTGGCTGTGTTGGGTCTTCGTTTCTGCGCGAGGGCTTTCTCTAGTTGCGGCAAGCGGGGGCCACTCTTCATCGCGGTGCGCGGGCCTCTCACTATCGTGGCCTCTCGTTGGGGAGCACAGGCTCCAGACGTGCAGGCTCAGTAGGTGTGGCTCACGGGCCTAGTTGCTCCGCGGCATGTGGGATCCTCCCAGACCAGGGCTCGAACCCGTGTCCCCTGCATTGGCAGGCAGATTCTCAACCACTGCGCCACCAGGGAAGCCCTAGAATATACTTTTCAAAGCATTGCTGAGATGTGAAAAGGGAAATTGCCAAGAATTCCCTTCTCTGCATACACACACACATACACATACACACACACATACACACACACAGACACACACACA